AAAGAGATTTCTCTCGGGCCAAGCCGTTTAACATCTCGGCGGTAAGATCGTGGCATGAACATTTAAATGGGAAAGGGGTCCGAAAAAACGGCGGAGAAAAAGGTTGAAGCCTCGATCTGAACGTTCCCGTTTCGCCGATGTCTTCCGCGTCTTCCGCGTCTTCCGCACTCGAGGGAGCGGACGACATTCGAGGAGTTGGGATCGAATCGGTCCGAGGAGTGTCGACAAATGGCGCAGCGTCTGCCACTGCATTTTGCTCCCCTCCAAGGTCGGGAGGCTGAAGAGAGGCCATGATGAAAATGATGCGCGAATTAACCTGTAATATGTATAAATAATATGTATAAATTCCACGTCGAGGAAGGGTGGTATGTCATCGCAAGCGAAACGCGCTCCGAATTAGGATTTCCTTTTTTTGCACCGAAGAACGACTTTCCTTTTCTTCCGGTTCTCCGTGGGGGACTTGCAAATTGCGCTTCGGGCGAAGGGCGGAAGCTTCGGAAGCGAAGCCAGGCACCATCGCCGGTACGTCTCTCGCGAAGAGTCGCGGCGAAAGAAACGCCCCGAGGCGAAGCGTCGAAAGTGAATCCGATCGATTCGCGGAAGCGATCGGCACGTCGGATGAAGTCGCGCCAGGCCACCATCAGAATGTCGTCGACGTAACGACGATGGAGCGATGCCGTCTGAGGACTCGAAGAGAGCAGCCGTCCCTCAAGGTCACCCATGAAGGTCAGCCACGGCAGTCCCACGAATTCGAAGGACCACCGAAAACAAAATGATCGCGGGTTAGAGCGAAAAAATGCCCGAGTCTCGAAAGAGCATCCGCATCCTCCCCGGCAAGCTGGCGTCTTCGAAGAGACAGGCAAGACCTTCGCCTTCCGGGAGGCTCGTGCCAAGAGCAGCGACGTCCGCCGCGACTGAAATCGCATCAGGGAGGCAGGGAAGGACGAACCTCCGGGCTGATGCGCTTTTTGTGGAGGGGAATTCAGGAAGGAAAGGAGACTCGTGGAAATGAAATGCATCATCGAGAGGAAGGCGCGCGCAATAGGACTGAATGGGAATCTGGGATTTTTGTCCAACTATCGCTTTTTCAACCCTACTTCATAGTTAGACGATCGCGATGGGCCTACTTTTTCCCCCCCGAAGAAGACAATACAGTCGAAACGTTCGGGAAAATTTTTTTTTCCATTTTGGTTGGCTGCGAGGTGCATTTTTTTTCGTCCCTGGTATCATCCAATGGCCAACGCGGGTTTCCCTTTTTTCACATACAGTATTAAAAGATATATTCATTATTAATCATTCCTTGGAAGAAGAAATGGCTTTAAATAAAATTTTAACTCGGCTTCATTCCTAGCAACATTCCAGGAATCCTACAGTGCTTTTCAGCCGAGCGACGCGGCTCCATTTAAACAAAGCCCGACAAATTCTCATCCGATTCCGAAATTCTGCTCAAAGCCCTCCCCCCCTCCCCCCCGAAATCGTAACCATCTGTCGTGTCTTCAGCGAGGTGGAAGGAGAGCTGCAGCGACCTGGCGGAGCTCGACCGGGAGACGGGACTGTACCGAGTGGACCCGGACGGGCCGGGCCCCTTCCCGTCCGTCGTCCTCCAGTGCGACATCCACGATGACCACGCTCTGTCTGTCGCGGCGGTCGTTCATCACAACCTCCCTCCCAACACCGTAGGTCCCTCTCTCGTCGTCTGGATGTCGATGTGGATGTGGATGTGGAAAGTGTGGATGAGGGACGTGAACGGTGGGCTTGGGAGGTTCGCTGTCGTGCTTGCGGTCTGTCGGGGGCCGAACGAAGCCGAGCCGGTCGGAAGCCGAATCATCCTTGGATGATATCGCCAGGAGAGAATTCCGTCCGGGTGGCGTGGATTGCATGCGGAATGGAAAGAGTGAAGGTCGGGAGGCTTCACTAACGAATCGCTCTCGGAAATTTAATCGTAATTCTGTCATTCATAATTCTGTACTTGTGCTTTCTTTTCTGAGAAGAGAGAAATCTCGTAAGGGCGGGACTTCTTCGTGAGTTTTGCGACCGCGGCGTCTGCGGATGCGAGATTCTTTCCTTCGTGTCCCGTGCGACCGGTCAAACGACCAAAAGTGAACCAAAAGAGCACACCTCCCTCCCACCGACCCGAAAACAAGCAAGCGAAATAAAAGATGAAAAACCTCTCCCAGGTGATCCGAGAAGCAGGCCTCTACAACCACATGATCCCCGTGGAATACCGCGACTTCGACGACCGGATGCTCCAGCGACTCATCGCCCAGTCGATCGACTGCGAGCAGAAGATCGCGTACGGGTGCGTGGAGGCGCCGCTCGACCTCGGGACCGCGACCTGGTTCACCTCGGCTCAGCGGAACAAGGTCAATGCGTTGAGGAACGACGGGTACGGGTGTCCTTGCCACGGTGAGTCGGGGTCTGTCGTTCCGTCCGGGGTCGACTCGGATCGACCGCGGGTCGTCTGGAGTCGATCCCGGGCCGCAAAACGTTCGACCGCATTTGAAGCGTGAAGGCCCGCGATGACGAGCATCGTTTTGCGGAATCTTTTGCCTGGGAAAATGGGGAAGCACTGGAAAAGATTCAAAATATTCGCTCCTCTTCTGGGGCTTCAAATCTGATCAGGTCACACTCGACGTGTGACTCGGTTACGCTTTGCATGCAACCGAGCTTCGAAATGTAAACAATTTTTTTTTTTGCTTCAGGCGGAGATTCCCCAGCTACATCTATTTTAAAACTAATTCTCGCTCCCCAAAAATCCATCTGACCCCCCCCCCCGACCTCTCCCCCCAGGCAACAACTGCGCCCCCGACGACGGCTTCTGCTCCTGCGACTCCAGCTCCCCCCTCCCCGAAACGGACTGGACCATCCTGAACCGAACCCGAAACGTGGGCATCACCGAGATCTACGCCTTGAACGACCCCGCCCAGAAAGAAACGGCCAAGGGCGACGTCAGCCTCGGTCCCCTCATCTGTCATCAACACGGTGAGTCGCTCTCGGCTCCCTCTGCCTCCACATAAATGCATGTAAAATTCAATACTTAATGATAAGAATTGATTAAATAATTAGGTAATAACTTAATTACCCCGGAATTAAACTCATACGTTCTTATACTTTCCTTAAGTCATTGAGTTTTTCGTGATTTTGCGATTAATCGATAAGTAAAGAATCCCGAACGATTCCACCACCTACAAATGTCTGAAACGAAGCTCTCTCTTCCCCCCCCCCCAGAGAGAGAAGAGGAGTGGGTGACATTCTCCTCCCAGCAGAGTTTCCTCCCGATCTCGAAGCAGTCGATCAACCGGCTCCGACTGAGTTTCCGGACGGACCAGGAGCAAGGGATCCTCCTCTCGCTCCCCTTCCCCAGCGAGGAGGAGCAGGCCTTCATTCTGGGCCTCACATCCGGTATGAGCAAATAATATATATAATATACATATATATTTTTCTCTCTCAAAACTAGTGCATTATTTTGAATTCATAAGAGTACACGATTTTTTTTTAAATCAACGATTAATTTTAATTTTTAGTGATTTTTTTTTGCTAATGTCAGCGCGGCATCAAATACTTTTCAATAAAATACCGGTAATTCCTGAGCACCTCCTGAGCACCTCCGCCCTCACCCCCCAAGGCACCACCCTCTCCCTGAACTACCCCGGCGGCAGCGAGAGCATCGAGTCCCCGGAGACGCTCTCGGACGGGAGGGAGCACGTGCTCTGGCTGGACTTCGGGGGGGACCAGGTCCGACTCACGGTCGGGCTCCAGCTGCCCCGGATCTTCAATGTTTCGAGGGGGCTTCCCACCTTCTTCGATCAGGTCTTCCTCGGGGGCACA